GGCACTTGTGATGACAACGGCCTCGGATCCGTTCGGTGCGGACCGAGAGAAAAACACATGATTTGGTGCCGTCTGCTGTTGCTGCTAAGGAAAATCTTCAAGCACGTGGAAATGCAGATGCCAGCAGAAAAAAAGAGGAAATCCCAACAATTCCCATCCCAATAAATCAGGGCCCTCCCTTTGACGTAGCTACCCCTGGCCTGACCCGCCGCCGCACACCCGGCGCTAGGCGTCAATCCGTCATCGCAGTTGCAGCACCTTACCTTATGTGCCTTTGTTGAACGTGCGCGCCCGTGATATCTCAACGGCCTTGAAATGCTTAAGAAGGACCACACCACATGCTACTGTAGACATCTTTTTCTCTCTTGATTTCCGACGCATATAGACAAGAACAACACCAGAAGATACCATCAATCTAAACAATAAACCACCAAGATGACAGCTCCAGAAACAGCCGACGGCACAGCCGGCCTCAGAAACCGCCGGCGCTCCTCCCACGACACCACAACCCTCCTCTCAACAGTAGAATCCTCCGCCGCCGCCCTCGAACGCAAAGTCGAAAAGGCCCTCCTCGTCCTCTGGGACGACCTCCCCGCCTGGCGCCGCGACAACCAATTCATCATCACCGGCTATCGCCCAGACTCCAACTCGTACCGCGCCTCCTTCCGCTCTTTGGGCTACCTGCACAACGAGTCCGTCAACATCTGGTCCCACCTCCTCGGCGCCGTCGCCTTCGTGATTACCGGCGCGGTCCTGTATGCCGTTATCGCGCCGCGCTACGAGTCGGCGAGCGATGCCGACATGATTGTCTTTGGGTGCTTTTTCGCCGGCGCCGTTGCGTGTTTGGGCATGAGTGCCACGTACCACGCCATGAGCAACCATTCGCCCGAGGTCGCAAAGTGGGGGAATAAGCTGGATTATTCGGGGATTGTGTTTCTTATTGTGGGCAGTTATGTGCCGGCCATGTATTACGGCTTTTATTGCCATCCTGCGTTGCTCAAGTTTTACCTCACAACGGTATGTCTCACTCACTCACTCATCCCTCATCTCCCACTCATCCCTCATGATATAAACCAACCCAGACACCAAATCTCACTAACACAACCTCCCAAGATCTGCCTCCTAGGCCTAGGCTGCGGCGCAGTCTCCTGGATCGAATTCTTCCGCGCCCCAGAATGGCGCACCTTCCGCGCCTGCATGTTCACCGCCCTCGGCACCTCGGGCGTCGTCCCCGTCCTCCACGGCCTGACAATCTACGGCCGCCAGGAGATGGAGGACCGCATGAGCCTCAGCTGGGTCGTCCTGCACGGCCTCATGTACATCTTTGGCGCTTTTCTATATGCGTTCCGCTGGCCGGAGCGCTCGTTCCCGCGCACGTTTGATATTTGGGGCAGCTCGCACCAGATTTTTCACTTTTTTGTAGTGATGGCCGCCGTGACGCATTTATATGGCATGGCTAAGGCTTTTGATTATCATCATACTGTTACAGGGGGCAAGTGTTTCTGATCAGAGGGGTTTGTAGATGGTGGTAGATGGTGTAATGAGGTTCATGAGTCTCGGATACATGATGTTTTTTACTGTATAGAAGGTTGATAATAGAGGGTATCATTCATACTTCTTGCCTATTTCACCTATGTTACTCTATGCTTGGGAGGTCTCTCTCTCTCTAGCATTCCAATCCCAAATCAATGACCCTCACCAGGCCAGACGCCATTGCAATAGCCGCCCAGCACGAGTACTCCATGTTCGAATTCCACGCCATCGTTGTGATCCGCGTCAACGGCTCCGAAATCACGGCCCGCTCGGGATCAGCAAAGTGCCCATCAGCCTCCTCCTGACCGCCTTGTACATCGGCATCGTCCTCCTCTCCAGCCTCCGCCGCCGCCGCCGCAGCGCCTTTCTTCCCCTTTGCCTTACCCTTACCCTTAGCCTTGGCTTTACCCTTCTTATCCTTCTTCTTGTTGATCGCAACCTTGGTCTTCCACGTGTCCACCTTAGGATTCACATTCGGCACCGGCCGGAACCCCTGCAATATCCTCGACGCGCCACGGCACCGGTCCGCTGTGTTCCCGCCCTCGAGCCCGTTCACCACCTCCGCGTCGAGCCTCTCGCGTGGTATGTGCTGGTGGTCGAGAACCTTCATCTTGTGCCCGAAATGATGCTTCGAAGCAAATATACGATTCGACGGGTTCGCAGCCCACACCGTTCCGTCGGTATACCCCACCAGCACAAACGGATGCTGCGCGCCGACAGTGAGACACGTCGGCAGCCGGTCCCCGTCCATGACTTTCCGCACCTGCGCGGCGTACCACCGCGCGTGGACGAACCCGACAGAGGCGTTGAGCGGGTTCGCGGACGGTACGGCGGTGAAGAAGCCGCGTAGGTGGTCACTCCATTGCATAAGGTTCGGCTGCGGCGTGATGGCGAAGCAGGGGAAGCTTGTCCGCTCGCACGAGGGGTCGGAGAGGTCTACGAGGGTGGTGTAGCCTGCGATCGGGGTCGAGGCGACGAGGTACGGGTCCGAGGGGTACGCCGTATCGAGGTGCATCACGTAGGTTGAGTGGACGTCGTGGCGGGCGAGGCAGATGCGCGGGGAGATGGACCAGAGGGTCAGGGAGCCGTCTGAGTGGCCTAGAACGATGCGGTTTGTGTTGACCCAGGCGAAGCAACTTGCTGTCACGTTGGTTTCTGAGGAGACGCCGAGGGATACGACAGAGTTTTCGAGTTTTGCTGTGGAATTAGTCAGTGTAAAGAACACAAGAGGCAGGGAAGTACATGGTCTTACTGAATGCGTCCTCTTCTCGGTCGCCGATTTCCTTGACCGAGACGACGTGAACCTGCCCGTCGCCGCAAAGCAGTGCAAGTAAGCCTAAAGAGCCGTCCTCCCTGAAGGGTACAGGGCACCACTTGAGCCGCTTCACCCTACCCCAGTCGACGCACAGCGTCCTGGCAAGTCGCGCAGGGCGTGCGGCAGGTCTTGAGACGCCGTCGCCGTCTTTCTGCCCGCGAAGCTCCCACAGCTGCACGATACCCTTTTTCTCATTGTAAGCGTCCTCGAGGCCCATTTGGTGGTCCGTCGGCGGGACCACGGCGAGGGAGAGAATCTGCGATTCCCCCTCTGTTCTTGGGGCCCATTCCATTCCGATAACCATGCCACCCACATCGAACATCCATCCAGAAGACTTCTGCTCGTCGCCGGCGTCTTTCGTCAGGACTTGCCCCATCTCGCCAAGCACTACGCTGTCGTACGGCGGAATCTCGACTTCTTGCTGGTTCTGATAAGGCCCGATCACAGTGACCAAGTGACCGCCCGGGTTCAACCGGTACCCCTCCGCTTCTATCGCCCCCATCTCCCTCTCGGCCTCGACAATCCCCTTGGTGCCTTTTAGCCTCTCGAACCAGCCCTTCGCAGCGCGTTGCTGGTCTTCATTGAACCCTTCCCCGAGCCACGGACTCGGCACCGGGTGAGCAGGCCCATCATGCAACTTACTCGGCAGCACCGCATACCCAGCCCACCGATTCAGCAACCAACTCGCGACGCCAACAGCCTCCGCCTCGGGCCCGTAAAAGAAGTCCAGCACTTGAATCCGCTGACCACGTTTGAGTTCGCCGGTGTAATAGCGCGTAGGCCGGCCGTCGGCGTGGTAGGTGTCGAGGGCGGTCATATCCGTCGGGCGTTTCTTGATCCCGGCGGAGCTGGTGTAGGCGGGCCGCTCCTCGTCACTGTCATTGCCTCTTCTGCGTGACCCGTCATCAATGGCTAGATTGGATGGATCCTCTGCCTCGAAATCATCGTCGCCCCCGTCGACGTCCATTCGGTCGTCCTCATCATCGTCTTCCGGGTCCGGCGGCGGCGCCTCGAAATTTTCGTCTTCTGGGTCATCGTGGGCTTCTTCTGGCGGTTCGCCGTCTGAGCCGTAGTCTATGATGGCGACGCGTTTGGTCTTGTTGCGGGGCCTTGTGCGCACCATGACGACGAAACGAGTGTGGTGTTTCTTTCGGAAGTGAAGTCGGTGAGGTTGATGCGGAATGAGACGTGAAGTGAAAAAAGAAAGTGAACCAAAGAAAGGTACGAGTAGCGGAAGCCGGCGCACTGTGCCTCATGCGGGGCCGATTTCTGCAGCGGGACTTGCGGCAGGAACGGGGCGGAGAGATCCGCCCAAGACCCTGGGTCTTAGCGTCTCCGCCATGGGAAACACAGTGCCAACTGCCATCTGCTCACCTCACCTCACCTCACCACTCAACTCATCATCACATCTGGTGATGTGCCCAATCTTTTTCATTCATCGAGTCATCATCAAGCTATACGGACTATTTATGAGGCGTGTTTAGTCACAGAAATCAAGGCGGTTATTGAGATACTGGCTTTCAATAAGTACCGGTGTCGTCTTTTTAGTCAAGAGTTGCCCGAACTCAATGGCAACATTGATGCAGTTCTTGACACCAGCAAGTTCTCCTACAGGGTGACTATTCATTAGAACACTAAATTACAGGATGATAAACTAGAAACAGCAAAGATAGTACAAATTTGGATAGTATCAAAAGAATCAGAAAGTTAGGAACAATAAGTAGGCAAGTAGGCATCGTAGTCTACTGTTGAACATCATCTTATCTTGTTAACCACTTGGCAACCTCGCTCAAGCCAAGAGTTTCAAACTCGTGATACCCCCTTCTTGGAGAGTCCTTTCAGACCAGCGCATTGTCTGTCACCGCAGTGTTGAAGGCAAAAGTGGGAGCGAGATGAGTTCAGACATCACTTTGGCTATTGAGAGATGGAACAGCCTTCGCACTGACGAGTATTACGCCGGTACCAAAAGGTGATCTCATCCTCGTCGCCGGCCCGTCTAGGAATGAGCTCCGCGTCTACTCTCTCATCTCATCCAATGTCTCTCTCATTTTTGCCTCAAAGATATCAAAAGCAAACTACAGCGATGATGCCTTAGTGTCAAACCCCTCACACCCCCCACCCCCGAGAAGACGATCTCAAGGCTATGGACATCATGTGCCACACCCTCCATGGCAACAGCCTAAAGTCGGAGATGAGAGAATCCTCGCCAAGGCTGATTTTGGCAGTAGCCATTCTGGCAGCAAAGTACGGCTGTGCTCTCACCCTTACGGCGACAGCCGAGCACTGGCTCTCGCCTAGGATCATGAACAACATCGCCCAGTCTGGGGTCGTACACCCAGAGAAGAAGAGACTCCTCCTGGCGACGTATTGGTTCAGGCACGAGAGGGCATTCGAGCCGGGGTCTTTGCGGATGATCACCGAAATATCGGAGAGTTTCAGCTGTCTGGCGAATGGAGAATCGGTAAAGGATAGAGCCGTCGCACTGAGGATTGCTACTGAGCTCTTCTTTGCCCCTATCTTCACTCCATATCCCCTACATGGCATTTAGAAGAAATCGGCTGAAATGGGGAGCAAATAGTCGCACTGGACCAGGAACGCAACGAAACCTGACTATCTCTGTACACGCGAATGATGAAGCAGATTCACACAATGCCCTATTGCGAGTGCAACACCCGTAAACCAACCCCCTGATGAAGGCGGTTTTTCCGCCGTCACGAGAACAAAAATCGGGTCACTACTGCCGCTACAGCCTCAGTCTTCCGCAACGTCGACATAGATATCCTATCGAGGAACACGTCGTACATGTTTATCAGCTCGACGGTAAGACTTGCCGATGAGAAGATGCCAAAGGCATTAGAGTGCAACCGTGTCGGACAATGTCACGTGTCTGGCCCTCCTCTGGGGCACCATAAGACGTTGGAGAAGTGCACCGTCAGCCAATTCAAGAAGAGCGGGATGCCGAGGGGCCTTTGCTTGGCTTGTCTGCATCCGCTGATGGTATGTGAGGCCACAGCAGCGCATTGGAAGGAGAACGGAGGGAGCGGGGTTTTGAGAGTGGCTTCCGGAGATGCATTAGTAACGCAATAATTTGAGACCGGACAAGCTGCACTTATTTCCAAAATAGGGTATGGTTGGGCGGGCTTGCATCGGGCTTGGGAGCTCCATGCATACGGAGCGGGGACGATACGATGCGAGAGAGGTTGGACCAGATGCAGAACGAAGTGAGGCGAGCAGAGGTTTTATGGCTGACAACTTTTGCCAACAAGATCCGGCGTCGAAGCTATCGCCTTTGCCCGCCTCGAGCTGAGCTCTAATGGTACTCAAATCGAAATGGGCTTGTTCTGTGCCAATATCCCGCTTGGCAATCTCCGCTCATTCGTCCGAACGACCCAGACAATTCAATAGATCGTCTAGAGTATGATACAGGCACTTAATCAATTACTTGAGCTGTTGGTTTGCAGTGGCTCTTCAAAGCCGGACTGAAATGCTCATGCAGAGAATACATGATGGCTGCAGTGATCAGTCAATATTGTCTGTTGTGTAACGTCAACCTCAACTGGAAGTTACTTTGCAGTATCAATAACCTCTGGAATGAAGTCAGCTGCATGATTCTATGCGCCTCCAAGAACAGAAGACAGCAAGAAGCATGAAGGTTCTACCGTAGAAATGTACCTACTTCTTGCGCTATAATAATTTCGGGAACTCAACACTTCTCTGAATCAGCCAATTCTCAGACTCGGCCTGGTCTCATATCATTACCACATCTCTGGAACCCGATTCTTTGTTCTTCTATCGAGCTTTTAAGACGAGCTCGTCGTTTTCCTGCATTCAAATCAGCAACAACCGCCATGATGTCCGAGTCTGACGCTGCTGTCGGGGCTTCGGGGCACGAACTTCGCAAGGCAGCTCGTCCGACCATCGATGAGTTTGACGGCGGTCCACAGCCCAGCGAACCAAATGATGACCAAACTTCAGACTCCAAGAGCAACCCAGTGAGTTCGACTGACCAACAACAATCATACCTGAGGCAACATCTTTTGGAAATGGCTCGCACCGAATCCGTAGGCAATCTCGAAACGCTCCGCAAGTTGATCAAAAAGTATAACTTGGAGGTCAACGTCAAAGATGAAGACTCAGGCATGACGCCTCTTCACATTGCGGCTAAAGGTGGCCTTGTCGGTGCTGTTGAAGAGCTGCTCAGGGCAGGTGCCGAGCTTGGAACTCAGGATCACGCGTGCCGTACGCCTTTGATGACAGCCACTGAGTATCGGCAAGAAGACGTTATGGAAAGACTTCTCTCGCCTCGACCTGAGAGTGCCGATCTCAAGTCGCAACTAGAAACACGCAACAAACTGGGAGTGACTCCACTCTTATCAGCAACTATAGATGGCTTCCCAGAAGGTGTGAAGCTGTTGATCAATGCTGGTGCAGACTGCAATGCCCAAACTCATCCATTCAATGCAACACCTCTGATAGTGGCTGGCAGTTTGGGCTACCAAGCCATAGCAGTGATGCTTCTCGACACCAGGAATTCCGAGCGCTGTGCAGATCTCAATCTTCAAGATGACGACGGGGATACTGCTCTAACTTCTGCGGTCATTGGAGGGCACTATGAGATTGCCAAGTCGTTACTGGACGCAAATGCCGACTTTACCATCAAGAATCATCAAAAAAAAGAACTCTTTGCATTTAGCAAGTGAAGAAGGCAACAAGAGCATCGTCGATATGCTTTTGAAGGCGGACGTACTCAAAGCTACTGTGAACGAAGCTGATGAGACAGAACAAACGCCGCTCCATCTCGCCATTATTGCTCTACACAGGCTCCAGAACAAGCTAGGGGTAGATCAAATTGACTCAGTCGACTCAACGGCAGACGAGGATAGCAACGCAAAGGACCAGATTCTTCAGTGTATCGGCACGACACAGCTTCTACTCGACCACGGGGCTCAGCCGGAGGCCCAAAACCGCGAAGGGCTCACAGCACTGCATCTTGCGGTCCCATGTGGCGAACCCTCTGTTCTCCAAAGTATTATAGAAAAGATGGAGCCAGAACATTTGTTGATCCGCGATCAACATCAGGAGACAGCACTTTCCGTCGCTCTCAAGCTAGAGGGACAGCAAAGGCGGGCTACTGCGATTGAAGTTTTTCTCAATTCAGACTTCGTGAAGATTGCCAAGTTCGACCAAGAAAACATATGGGATAGAGTCCTTGTATGGGCCACGAATGATCACAAGTTGCACAATATAGTGCAACTAATCCTACAGTACAAGACCAGAAAGAACAACACAATGCCACCTGAATCTGAGGGCTGGAATGTAATCAGATGGGCAGCGCACTATCAGGACCCAAAAATTCTGCGACAACTGATTTCCAGCTCGCCTGAGACTGCTGACATTGAAAAGGCGCTGAAGTCAGTCCTGGGATCGACCCTGAAGCTGGTAAGAGAACCAAGTATTAGCAGCGAAGCCATCAAAAAGCTTCCCATTATGATATGGCTGCTCATAACTGCTTCTGAGCAAAGAGTCGAACTGAAGGAGTCTTTGGAAAAGATCTTAGACGCACTGGAAACCCGAACGTCAGAGGAGAAACCACTGACGAAGAGGTACGGGTTTCCAGTTCGATCAAAACCGGATGGAAATTTGGATCCAGATCGAGGTGAAGATCAGCAAGGAAGCACGATTCGAGAAATTCTGGGAATCAATTCGAAGCAACAATAGGGATCGGAGCAGGAAATCTTTGAGTCGAAAGAGTTGGGGAAGCTGAAAGACATCATCCGCGACCCCCCCTTCACACGGGTCCACAAAGAGCCTTTGGAGTACGACTTACCGCGATACAAGATTGAGAAGACCCGTAAAGACGCGTTGAAAAGATATAAGGCCAATATTGTGCAGTTCTTGAGGGCCGATGGTGTAATGACAACCCTTGAAGTCAGGAGGAAAGTCCGCGACGTCATTTATAAGGCCGGCCCAACAAAGCTCATGCAAACGGCAACAGATATGCACCGGGCTGTCGCCAGTCTTGATGGAGATAAGGTCGAAATCGATCTTGACTTCACATGGGTACATTTGCCGGCGACCAATGTGAGTATCGCCCTCATGGGCATTCAAATTGCTTTCACTAATATGACATCGAAAATAGATGGAATGGATGAATGTAAGTCTAAATGATCATTTGTGAATTCTTTCAGAAAGGTGTCTGGAAAAGGATGAAACCAGACTGACAAGCATTATAGGACCTTGTCACAAGGATTCTGAAAGAGGAACACTGCAGTACTCATCGATACTATGAGGTCAAGTCATTTTTCCAAGATAGTTGGGTCGAGGTGCCAGACAAGAAAGCCGAGTCGAGAATGATGAGGCCTCGCAGCGTTTTCAGACAGCAGAAGCAGACGGCAGATACTGAACCAGGCTCTAGAGCAAAGCCACAAGCTCCATGGTTTAAAATCACAGACAGACCGTTGGGAAAGCGACAGAGGCAGCATGTATTAGCAGAAGAGGGAGAAACGGAAGATGGAAAGATACAAACGCCAATGACAGCAGAGGTAGGAATAACAACCAACAAAGACAAAGGAGACATAACAGAAAACCCTGAAGAAGATGACGGAAATGAGAAGATTCAGGCTCTGCGGTCTGGGACAGGCGACTACACGAAGAGCGATTCTGGCTTCGTGGCTGCATCGGCAATCTACGTAAGTAAGGACCCAATATGCACGATAGTGAATCATGCTAAGATGTAGATAAAGATGCCTTACTTCTGCTTCTCTACCAACCTCGACAAGGTTCAAGAACCCTTAGTACCAAAGAACAAGTACGACAACCTATCTGCAGAGTACTCAACTGAGACCATGTCAGTTGTTCACAGATCGCCAACCCTCGATGAGTGGTACTATCACTTTGCGAAAGACGACGAGTCAGCAAACGAAGACAGAATTCGTCGCAACGAGAGCCAGGTCGTTGCGAAGTTTCTAGGAAGGGGCAAGAACCGGGAGCAAAATGGACAGAACAAGAGGACTCCCATGAGTCCTAACCAGCCCAGCGACTTGACATTGATACGTATCAATCAGATATGGATTTGGACCATCAAAAACAGTAAGTCACAAGATTTTCAGCCTTTAAAATTACTTGACTAAGAAAATTTGCCCTTAGAATGGCTCATCACTGCGAACTCTTGCTTGCCTGATGAAGGTGACGGCACCCTGGTACAGGCAATGCTTGACCAGCTCAGCAAACAAGCGAAATACGGAGGCCGTGAATCTCAACCCAGATCAGCAGATGAGATGAGCAAGTTGATCGTCGATTACTTCGTCGGATCATATGAGAGACTTTCGAAGATTGAGAGACAACCGAAGACAACATCCACCGATGCTGCTTCATCCCAAAACCAGGAACTTGCGGATAGACGAGAACTATCCATCAGTCAAATTTACTCCAGCTACATGAATCGGATTGTAAGCTACGTCCAATCCTCAATGTGTCATGAATTTAGCCCATTATAGCTAACGAGATGCTAGGGAAGGGATGAGATGAGATTGTATGAGACATCCAGGGACAGGAGGCAGAACCAACGGCAGGACCGGGAACGCGATCTGCTGCAGAAATTGACATTCGCCTTTCGGCAATGGAAAGAAATTCTCGAGAACGGTCCTGAACCCTCACCGAGCGCGTTGCCGGATGCAGGAACCACGATGGAGGACGCATTCGAGCAAGCGGAGAAGCTCTATGGTGACATCAAAGATGTCCGTGACGAGTTGAATATTCTGAAATCGGTCGCACAGCACCAGAGGACCGTGCAAAGGGGGTTGTACAAGAAGATGAAGAAGATCGTGGATCTTCCTGCAGCCTATGTGGTGAACGACATCGCACACATGGAAGCTGTTGCGGAGAGAATAGAATCAGCGGTAAGTCTATAAAGTGATCAAACTTGCACTAGCTCTTCTCAATGGCTGATGGTCAATGATTTAATTACAGGTCAATACAACGATCTCTCTACAGCAGAACGAAATTGCAAACTACCAAGCAAAACTAGCAGGTGATCAAGGAAAGATCCTTATGGTCTTCACTTTTGCGACTCTGCTCTTCGTAAGTTCTTCATGTCAAGAAGACCTGTTTACATTTGTTGGCAGACTGACCAGCTCGTCAAGCTTCCGTTATCTTTCCTCTCATCACTCTTCGCTCTAGACGTTTCTTCCTTTCTCCAGACGCCTACCTGGGCGTATCTTGTGATATGTAAGTCTTATTCGTTTAGCGTAGCTTCCTGCATGTGTACTTGATAAGAATTGACATTTGTTACTACAGTCTTAGTATCAAGCGTAGTTTCTCTCATTATAGGGCTAGTCGCATTTTTCTCGGAGACTATTAAGAAATACGGAAAAAAAACATGGAAACATGTGAGGAGACCGAAGACTTATGGTTCCATATGTTAGCGAGCTGAAGTTCCGTCGGGTGTGTCGCAATGGACTATTGTACTCTTGCCGTTTTTTCATGATCGCCTTCCTCATACATAGAGTTCATGATGTTTCCTAGTTGAGAAGACATACGATACATCAATTCGCCTCAGGATCTGCCTTGCACTAGGAATTCAAAGCTGCTCAGCCGTACCGTCTACGTTGTCGAGGCAGATCCCCTTCCTGTAGCAGGTCTGTATGGTTTACAGCCTGAGCAGCCCTCTGTCGGCTGTAGCGGCTAGACTACGGCCTGAGCAAGCCGGAGGTACTGCAGGCGACTTTGACGTTGGTGAGCTAGTAGAAGTGATATTTCCGTAGGTATGCAAATCCAAATATAAGAAGGCTCCAGCCGCTTCACTATAGATAGGCGGCATTAAGCTCTTTACTAAGACTAAAGCATTGACAAACCTGACATCTGGCAACTTACAGCGCCCCTTTCACACATTCAATGCTAGTGCTGAATCAATTATGTTGTCCAAACGTAGTCCTGTGCGATTTCCCTCCAACGCCAAATTCTATCAAGTTTGGTACCAAAGTCTAGTCAAGCCAGAGAATGCGCAGTCGATTCATTCTGACAACGATTCCCTCGCTCTCGGAAACAACTTGAACCTACGAAATGCGGTTCGAGGATTGCTATGCCTCGGTCTTTTTCTGATCATTCATCACGCTCTATATGATGCCATTTCCATCGGCCGTGCGACCCCTAGATGCTCTGAAGAATGCTTACACTGGCACAGCCATCTTGACGAGGCAGCAAGCTTTGCCCTGTGGAAGGCGCACGGTACCAAAGCTGAGGTCATGGCCTAGTCGCAAAGCTATCGTAAGAATTGTTGAATGGTCTCATGGCGTACCTTTTAACACCCATCGGAAGCGCGGCACGCGTGGCATGCGCGGGTGTAGAGGTAAGCCGGGAAGACCGGCCCACGAAGCTCGGTATCGGATCACATCCTTACTTACTTTAAAAACATCGCGAGGTGCCAGGCTGTTTTGAGAAGGAGAGCAAGAATCCTGATTATTGTAATCTATCTAGAGTTCGACCTAGCGGTCTGATGTCGGCCGGTTCGGATGGATGTGCTACCTCTGCGAAGCCTATAACATCCTGAGTATATAAAACCTCACTAAGAACTTTTATCAGATATGTGTATGGTAGACTATCGTCAATGTCGAAGTCCTTAATTCTCATCCACTCGCTTGCGCATCATGCGCTGCATTCGACATCTCGGACTCATCTTTGCAGGCTTCACCGCTGCACTTGTCCCATCACCTATAGGTGGAAAACCTCGTAGTAGCTATGTCATTGAATATGGCACGACGGAGAGCGTGCGGTACCTTGTCTGTGGGACATTCCATGACTGAAGGCGCTAACATATGGCAATAGTCTGAAGGTATGCCATTGATCATCGAGGATGGACTTGTAGAATATGGATTCTACTGCTCCGTGACTAAGTTTCGTGAGTACAACTCAAACATTCTTCACGGAGCCTCTTTCTCGCTGAAATGCGGCGAAGGAGCGATTCAACTCCACCAACCATCGTTGGCTACAATCGCTATCATCACTAATGCCCAAAATGTATGGAATCTTCCCTCCGAAGGGGGCTTGTTCGAAAACCAGAGAACATCAAAGCAACAGCAACTCCCACCCGGAGAGCCAAAGCATCCAGAAATCAACGAACTTGGCCGCAGAAGCGCTGTGCAAGCCAATGTCGACAGCATCAGGATCGCCTCAAAGGCCGCGCTTCTACGGGCTTCGCATGAGGACACTGGTGTCTTGCGCTTACACGAGGAGAATGTAACTGGCGCAAACGTCCGCGTTGCCATCATGGATGCCGCGATTGATGTGACCGCACCTGGCCTGGTAGAAACGAACATCGCATATACCACCAACTTGCGGACCGGCGCCAATGACTCTGCCGGGAGCTGTGACCCGCACGGTACCGGGAATCTCGGCATCGCCGGCGGAAAGGGCGATCCGCTATGGGGCTATACCGGTGTCGCACCGGATGCCACCTTTGAAGCGATCGCCAACTCTGACTGCGTCAACCCCATTAACGGGGACGACCAGGTGAATGACTTCCTTCACATGTACGAGCGGCATCTGGACATCATTTCCATTCCTTACAGCTACGAGTTGGAATACCCTGAAGGTAAGTGATGCTTGTTCTGTAAAGTTCGGCAACTCTTGCGTATCTATCCACCTAAAGTACGGATTGACCGCGTTCACTTGCTAACCGTGAGGCTAGCCCCTTGGCCCACGTTGATAGAGCGTATGTTCAACAACGGCACTCTCGTAACTACTGTCGCCGGCAACACCGGTCCGGGGCTGTACTCGATCAGAGCACCCACGGCCAGTCGTGGCGGCATGGCTATCGGTACCTACGATACTTCCCTCGTCCCTGTGTATACATGGCAAGGGAACTGGACAGCAGGCGGTGAGACTGGTCCAGTATACTATCACCCGAGTGATCCCACCGATACGCAAATATTCGACATGCCCGCCCAGATCAACCTGACATTGTGGTGGCCTGGCGCTTTCGATCCTGCGGCTCTGGAGGGACCCCAAGATGTTGTGTCTCCTTGCCGACCTCTTCCAGCCGACGCAAAACCGCCCTCGGACCCAGCAACCACGATACTTCTCCAGTCTAGATACGAATGTTGGAGCGACCCCGATGACGCGTCTTTGGATATCACCACCAAGTACGGAATACCCTATGTCATGGGGTACGCCCCCAACTACGCCGTTCATGCACTCAGCATCCCTCGCATGGGTAGCACTAATCTAAGCCCTTCCGTACGCGCAGCAGTCAACATCGGTTTCGACGAAGCCTCAAGACTCATATCGCTGCTCGCAAAACACGGCCGCGTAGATCTCTCCCTGACCGGCGATCCATCGTCAGCCAACATGAACCTCAGCTTCATACCCAACAACCAGACAGGCCTCACGCCATCATCCTGGACAACTTGGGGTCCGGCTTTGGATACACACATGGGCGTTGCCGTTCTCGGACCATCACAGTACGTCGCCATGCCGTTCCCCGCGCGCCTTGGCGGCCTCGGCGTATGGGCCGGAACGAGCTTCTCAACCCCGTACCTAGGCGGCGTCGCGGCCCTTGTGAAGTCTGCTCATCCCGAGTGGTCGCCGCGCCAGATCCGCAATGCTATCGTGGCCACGGCACGTCCTGTAGACTACAACGATGGTATTCCAAACTTCAAGGTTCATGCTATCAAGGCCCCGGTTCAGCAGCAAGGAGGTGGGAGGGTCGATGCCTGGAGTGCTGTGCGGAGCGTCACGACGGTCAACGTGACGGATCTTGCTTTCAATGACACCGATCACAGACCACCGTTCCTAAGTTTCACCCTCGCCAACACGGGTGTTGAGGAGCTCACTTACCAGCTGGATCATCTACCAGCGGGGTCAGGTTACGTGATCGATCCTGCAAACCCTTACGCCTTCTCGCTGCCGAACATTAGTGATGCCTTCGCCAGCCTGTCAATTTCTCCCACCTATCTGACGTTGAAGGGCGGTGAATCTGCGTCTGTGGCAGTGTCAATCCTCTCCGAACCTGACTTGTCTGATGCCGCAAGTCGTCTGTCTTTTTTCGGCGGTTACATCGCAGTCCAATCCTCAGCTTCTGAGGCGAATCTTCTGACTGTGCCTTACACTGGCTATGGAGGATCGCTGCTCAACTTACCCATCATTGATCGGACTCAGACCAAACTGATTGGAGTCAGGCTGCCGGACTTCGCATTCATCGATGTTGAGCCCGGAAGGATATTCAATGCCACCTACAACGCCAGCGTCGGCATCGACGAGAACCCCATCGCCTATCCTGATGGCATATATCCCGGATTTGCCTTCCAGCAAGTTGTAAGGAGTAGGCTAGTCACTTATTCTATGGTGAACACTAAGACTGGCGAAGCGCCATTCCACAACGACACCGTCGGAACAGACGCGGAGCCAATGACGGCAGCGTGGTTCTGGGGTGGCTCAGAGAACAACAGGACATTTGTGCCGGCTGGAAGCTATGTCTGGGAGGTACTAGCACTTCGGATGAATGGTGACCGTGAAAACCCAACACATTTTGAATTCTGGAGGTCAGACGAATGGAGTTTGGCTTACAGTCTGAACAGTACCGGCTTGCCTTCGGTGTAATGCCTCTATGGAGCAACGGTTATACGAGCAGAGCCTCGTGGATAAGCTTCTCCTCTTGACAGCAGCCTTAACTTGGAAGCTTTGCTCCTTTATTCCGTCTATAATATTAGACAGTTATTGAGAGGTAGAGTACCGAGGTAAGGATGCATATGTGGTTCTTGAGAGCCGTCTGGAGCGGGAAGACTGACGGCCGAGGGGGCTTGACGGGACGGAGACGAGACTAAAGCCGGCGCGGAGCTCACAGCCGCAAGGTCTCGGCATATACAAAGTAAAAGATGGTAAAGGCCACTCTGCTATGAATGGCAAGCACCATAATCTTCGTTAAGACAATATGCTCTCACGAACCTGACCTTGGGCATACCCAAAAGTGCCTCCCTCACAAACCCATCTTCCACATCCAGCGCCGTCGCCTTCGCAATCCGTGACTTCATCTCCGGGGCTCCCATATCACTTGCAACTCTCACTCCATCTTCCTCTCTATAACCCCCATCCCCTCTACCGCCGTCATTGGCTGGTATAGACGCCCCAGCCCGAGCCATAACCCACCCCCTCGCAACCTCGCTCGCCCAAGTCCCATTCAACCTCCTCATCCACTTCTCATCCCTCACAGCCCGTCCGACCCTCTCCGTCCCGCTCCTCGCCCAAAGCTCCAGATCAAACTCCAAAAACACCGGGTTCCGCCATCCAGAGCCCAGCACGCTCTTCACTCGCGCAATCTCATCCGCGTCCTCCAAGTCCGTAACAACGATCGTAGTCTCAGCCCCGCCTCCGCCAAACATACGTCTCACGGCGTCCCGGCCATGCGTACTACACCGCACACCCAACGCATCGAACTTCAAACTCACGCGCTTCACCAGCGCCGCGCGCTCGAATAGGCGGGCATACCACTCCGCCTCAGCGCGACCAACAAGCACATGCCGCGCCCGCTGCACAAGTTCTCTGATCCCCCGCGGCTGGTCACCCTCGACGTCAACCCAGCTATCCAACTCCAGCACATCGCGATCCCCATCAAACCAATAACACCGCGTCCTCTCCCCCTTGCCCATCTCACCCCCCTCGTACGTGAGTCTCGCCAGCGCACCATATTTCGTCGCCACGGCCCGCGACTCACGACACGCTCCGGCGATGGCGGGCGGTCGTAACAGCGGCGGCGGAGATCCTGACTTGTGTGACTTCGTCTTCTTCCCATCCCGTGCGTCTAGACGCAGAACCCGCGATGGAATGGCGACGAGGGACCAGACTCGGAGTCGTAGTTCGGGAGGCAGATGGCGGAATTGTGGAAAAGATAGGTGTTGCGGCGGCTGCGTGTTGTGGTGGGAAAGCATCGTCTCCATTGTGGCTAGGCGCGCTTCTAACGCCGTCTGAGATTCTGCGATCCTCTCAAGCAGGTGAAGGGTTCGCTCCTGAAAGGTTCTCGACTCCATGTTGTTTGAATTGAACTGAAAAATTGAAAATGTGCCTCTTATTGTGTGAGTCGATCTCTACCTGTTCAGTCGTCGACTTCACAGTCGATCACTAAAGTAGGACTTGCGTGGCTCGTGAGAACTTCCACCGGCGATGTCTCTAATAAGAACACCACAAGTTCTAGCCTCAAAAACTTCACCGCCCGGCGCCGGAAACCGCGGGAACATCCATCCTTTTTACATCACCTCACCATCTGAACATCTGAACACAAATCAGAACCGTATTCGCATCACTCCCCCCCGCCGCAAAAAGACTTGGCTTCCCTCCAGCGGCCGACCTGCACTTCGTCTGGTGTTGACTGTACGGTTTGTCAGTCTGCAAAAGCATGCAAGTCTCGTAGGTAAGCATCTTGGTAAGCGTTGTAAGCAAGTCCGGTCCCCGACTGTGCATGCCAGTGCGGAGACTTGGTTCATTGAACCGACAGGGGTGTAATCTGCTAGGATGGCTCCAATTGGGCAAGTCCGTTTTCGGGGACCACACGGACATGAGGCTTGCACAGTAATACATGACAATCCTATCCTACCTTAAGGTATGCTCCATAGGTTCATCGGCTCGAAGGATCATTACGAAGCTATACTTTTATTTCCTTTGCGATTTTACAACTTAAAGTCGGCATTGTTCTTCTCCCAGCCTCTTGGAGTCTCCTCCAGATCGGCCACCTTATCAACGAGCCTCACCTTCAGGTTCCGATTCCGCTCCGTGCAGAGTTCGTAGGTTGTGCTGAGGTTAAACAAGAGAGTGTGCGATGAGTAGCCGGATCCGACCATGTCCTCAAAAATGGCTCGTGCCTGATGTATAGCTGGTTGTCAGCCGTCTTTGCCATGCTTAAGTTTCCACGAGATGTGTGTCATGAAATGAGACCACAAGTAAGAACACGAGAACGAGGGAAAAGACCCGAGAAGGAAAAGCACTCACCTCTGTCAACTTGCCAGTGTAAAGAAGACACACCGCCATGTTGACACCAATCATCTCATCCGCAACTTCCTCCCTCAGACCTCTCCAGGTCGCAAGCGCCGCCTCATACTCCCCATCAGCCATCTGACAAAGCGCGCCCACAACCGTCTCAGCATGCTTCCCGTCCTCCCCAGAGCCCTCCCCTGGCACAACGCAGCGCCTCGCCGCGTCCGCATCCCCCAAGTGAAGCCACAGCAGAGCCCTCGACAGCGCCATCTTTCCGTTCCCGCGGTCCTTGAGCGTAGCCAAGTGATGCGCCGCGCCGGCGGGGTCATCCATCTCCACCAGCGCGCCCGCGACAGCAACACCCAGATCCTGCAGCCGCGCCTTCCAGAGCTCCCTCGCCGAGTTATCGTGCCGTGCCGTCGCCTTGCTGATCTGCTCGCGCGCCTCCCGCGCCAGGTCGTGGTAGCTCATGACGGACCTGCGCGGGTCGCTGAACCCGAGAGCCTGTAGCCGTACGTTAAGCACGCGCAGCTCCCAGGGCACCAAGTGCTCGCCCGTGGTCTCGTCAATGTAGACGCCTGCATTCAAATCTTCCAGCGCCCTCACCTCCTGCGCCGCCACCGCCGTCGCGTCGATGAGCGTCAGGCACGCCAGCCGCGTGTACAGCAGGCTAAAGATCCTCTGGTGGTCCGACGGTGCGACCCGCGGCCGGCCTGGGCTGCCCGTGGCCGTCAGCTCCTGGACCGCGGCAATGGCGGCGGCGCGGAAGTGGCCCTTTGCCAGCAGGTCTTCGAGCGGAGCATCGGCCGGCGGCTGCTTGGACGAGTTCCTGAATGCGACCGGGACGTTGACGGGTTGGATGGTGTGGTAGATCTCGGGCCGCAGGAGGAAGCCAAAGTCCTTGGTGACGGTTGTCTTCACGGGCGGAGCGGCGGGAGAGTGAGGCAGCGCTGGCGAGCGTTGTCCTGATATTGGGCGTTGCTGCGTCGTGTCTTCTGTGGCGGCGGCTTTTGGTGACAACGGGTCATTCAGAGGAGTGCTTAAAGCCTGTCAGAGGAGGCCAACATGGCAATATGAGAAGTAAAACTCACTCGTCCAGGTCGAGCGGACCCTTAGTCGAGGACCGTGGACGAACCGCTGTACGAAACGTATTAGTGAAGATTCGGTGACACTCCCTCCCTCATTCTCAGTCTCATTCATGAGCTATAGGCCATAGCTTCTGCCAGGGCCAGGGTGATGAGATACACATAGAATGAGAAGAAAGCGGGCTCTAAAATTGGAGGAGGGTTTAACATGGTGGATGATAAGCACTCACGCCTCGTCACTGATATGTTTCGTCCATGCCCACGATTTATTGGAGGTTGAGACATCGTATTGAAGGTTGAAGGGATCTCAAAGGTGTTGTTGGAGAGAACATACACCAGCACTTTGAACCTGAATGAAGCTCAGCAGGTATCGAAGCCAATTGGTCTGTGCTGCGGTCGCTCAGAAGCTGGGTCGGGGGAACCCCCCTTTATGCGATTAAGGGACACAGGCAGCCAGGAAACAAGCACATGGCTCTTTTTTCAAGTACTTCATATGCACAACATTTTTCATTGCAGTATTTCACCAATGATCTCACAGATTTCACACATCTCATATCTGGCAACCTATGGTGGCAAAGGACCTCTATTAACCGGCAGTGATATCTAAACCGAAAAGGCAGAGCTTTTGACCATTCCCAATATCTCAAGTTTCCATCAGATATTCGTTCTCTAACCCTTGGCAGCACCGGCCTTGATGAGCAAGATGTCTCCATCTTCCACAACGTAGTCCTTGCCCTTCGTCATCACCTTGCCCTTAGCCTTGACCTCGGCTTCAGTGCCGAGCTCCTTCAGCGTGGTGAAGTTGTAGACGAGGACTTGAATAAAGGTCTTTTCAAAGTCGGTGTGAATGACACCAGCAGCCTGGGGCGCCTTGGTGCCGTTGCGGAGAGTCCACTGGCGGACTTCGTCCGTGCCGGTGGTGAAGAAGCTGCCAAGGTTGAGGACCTTGCGCATCTGAAGAACGATCTTGGGCAGAGCGGACTCGGCGCCAACGTTCTTCTGCTCCTCCTTGGACTCGGCCTCAGTCTCGTAGCGGGTCAGACGCTCCTCGAAAGAGACGGAGATGGGGATGATGGGGTCGCCTTGGGCGTGCTCCTTAACCCACTCGGCAACCTTGGGAAGATACTTGTTCTTCTTGCGAATGAAGTCCTTCTCCGAGAGGTTGACCAAGTAGACGACGGGCTTGGCGGTAAGGAGGAACAAGGGGTTGATGACCTCGATCTGTCATTTTTGTCAGAAATGATTTTCTCTCACAAGTGTTTTGCAACAAGATTGTATGAGGGAGTTGTGTCAAATCAGAATGGGTTTTTTGTCTCAATATGCCGTAGCATTCGAAGAGCTGGGTTTATAGTTCGGATCTTAGATCCTTTGTCATCATGTGACGAGAGGCGTGGGATGAGGAAAAGAAATGTAGTTGTCAGTCTTACCTCCTTGGGGCCCCAGGTACCCTTGCGGACTTCATTGCCGTCCTTCAAGTGCTGAAGAATCTTCTCAATGGTAGCCTGCTCCTCCATAGCCTTCTTGTGCTCGAGGCCCTTGCCACCAGAGCGAGTCTTCTTCTTCTGGTTCTCGAGGGCCTTTTCGGTGAACTCGATATCCTTCAACCGCAGCTCGTCGCTGATGATGTCGAGATCACGGGTAGGGTTGACGTCACCCTCGACGTGGATAATCTCGGCATCGTCGAAGCAACGAACGACCTGGAAGATGGCATCGACGGCGCGAATGTGCGACAAGAAGGCGTTACCAAGACCAGCGCCAGTGGAGGCACCTCTCGTCAGACCAGCGATATCGTACACCGTAAGGTTGGCAGGCACGCGCGACTTGGGATTGTACTTTTCGCAAAGCCAATCATAGCGCTCATCGGGGACGATGACACGTGCCTCCTCAGGGTCGATGGTGGCGTAGGGGAAGTTGGCCGGGTTTCCCAGGTTGCACTTGGTAATGGCCTGGAAGAGGGTGGACTTTCCAACGTTTGCAAGGCCAACCTGAAGAGAAGAGAAGGGGGGTCAGCCTGATCCCGGACAGGTTCTAAGGCCAAGGCGAAAGCGAAGGCTCAAGGCGCAGCACCCACAATTCCACTCTTCAGGTTGTTACCGGGCCTGCCCAGGAGGATCTTCTCCTCGACGACTTGCTTCTTGGGAGGCATTGTGCGTCTTGATTTTGCGTAGTGACGTGTGGTGGTGTAGAGTAAAGTGCAGTGAAGCACTTGAGCTTGGCGAAAGGCAGAGCTAGCTGCGCGGGGTAGCAAAGAGGGAGATTTAGAAGTGAAGGAAGAAGGGAGGAGGATGAAGGACGTCGTTTTGGCGACTCTTGGCTGTGTGACCAGCCCTCAATCACGCGGATTTGCCCGACGACTCAGAGAGCAGAGCGGTAGAGAGAGAAGAGAGTAGAAAGAGGAAGAGAAACCTCGCAGATTGTTTGATCGAGAAGAAAAAGCTTTCGCGACAGAGGTGTTGTGGCCGGCCTTGTTAGATGAATTTTAATGTGCCCCACCAAAAACGGGGCCCAGGTACCTGAAGGGGGTCAACTTCCATCCCGGCGTTTCTATTCCGCCGTCGCGCCGCCACCACCTAAACCTGGAAGGCGCTGACAGCACCACTGAACAGTGGAAGCAAGGCAGGAACGATCCCAGCAACCACGCAACCAAGCTGGGAAGCTCGAAGCCCGAAGGAAGCTGGAGGAAAGCGCGGGGCTGGGAGCCACCTCTGACCTCATTCCTTGCATCCTATTGGATCGCAATTGGCTCAACCCGCTTGCAGTGAAGAGTACTTGTGCATCCCGCATACCACCACCCGATTTCTATGGCCCAAGTCTGGCTACCCAAGTACCTGACCTTACCTTCAAGCTCCGATCAACCAGCAACCTCCAGGCTCCTCGAGGTTGTTCAATGCAGCACTTTGCCTTTCTGCTGACGCCCGCTTTCTCAGCGCCGAGCACCGCCCGAGCCAAGCCCAAGGAACCTAAGCTACGAGACCTGCCTTGAGGTTCTTTGCTGGGTGCATTGCGTTTGCTTCCGTCTCCTTCTCGTCGCGAGTTCCGTCAAACGTTTCTGTTCATTCTGCAGCCAGCCTATTTCATTGTATTTGCGTCCTTCATTCACTGAAACATCCCCCATATCTCGTGTCCTCGAAAGTATTCCCTAAGCGCATTTATTCCCCAGACTGGCCCTCTTCTCCGTTTCGTGCCTCGTCTCATCTTCTCCAACAACGCCGCGCCCCTCCCACCCGACTCGCAGCTGCCCAGGCTCTCACGACGTAAACTGGAATACGCCAAAAAGGCAGCAGCACCCGCAACCTACAAAAACACCTCACCCGACAAATTGCAGAAAAACATGCCTCCACGATCGAGCAATCCCAGGCAGTCTACCGCGTCGCATAGGTCGACATTGTCATTATCCAAAACCGAAGTCACAATCCATGTCTATGATCTGCTACCTGTAAGTTGCTCGGACCCACCGAACCGACAGCTTGGTTCCGTCACCGCCAGCCCAGCTAACAAAGTGACTGCAGCCAGGACGCCTATCCTCTGTTCTTTGGACATTTGGCGCTTCGCTGCTTCACTCGGGTGTTGTGATCAATGGCAGAGAGTACGCCTACGGCGGGCACGAGCGACGAGGTGTGACGGGAGTATACTGGACAAAGCCCAAGACGGAGCCCCCCGGCGGCACTTTCAAGTCCGAGATCCTCCACGGCTTTACCTTTGCAACCCAGGCCGAGATCGACGCGATTCTGGAAGAAGCCTCGAGAGACTTCCTCGGAACCTCCTATAACCTCTTGACGAAAAATTGCAACCACTTTACTTCCTATCTCTGCAGAAAGCTTACCGGCCGTCCCGGTCCCGGCTGGCTGAACCGTGCGGCAAGCATCGGTGTCGCATTACCCTGCGTTGTTCCTAGGGACTGGATCGACCCACCCGAGTACGATACCGCCGACGGCGCACTTCTGGAAGAGGAGGAGGAGGATGATCGTGCTCACGAAGGCTCTAGGATGCTGAAGCAATCGCCGCCGAGGTTCCTCACCGAGAACTCCAAGGGTCAAGCGGAGGACGCCGATTGGGATAGCGAGGAGGAACGACGCCGCGGCGGCAACGGCAAGGGCAAGAAGGCCGTACGGGATACTGCGGGTCGCGACCTACCTGCTGCCGAAAGGGCTCCGGTTCGAAAGTAGAGGTCGTCGTCGTCGATTCTCTACATCAGGGTATGCGGTATGTTTGGCGTTACAAAGGTCTGGCGTTTGGGTTTAATGGGCGTACAGCACTTGATACCAGTGGGGTTGGACATCTGGATTTTTGATATGAAACCATCAGAATGCAAGGAAATTTGCTCTTGTGATATGATACAGTTGTACATGTATTGTACAGGCGTTATTGCGTTGTTCTTCCCCCGCGAACTCCAGACAGCGTACCCCCTTTCTAGACACGTCTTGGGTTCTTGCTCCTCGTTCCACCAAATTTCAATCTCGTTGAATCCGCCACCCGAATGACCTTGCTTCTCCAAAGCTTACCCTCGGGGGCCATGAGAACCTTGACTGCCGCGTCACGTCCAACACCGAATCCTCTGAGCACGATCTCGAGCTTGTTGATCTTCTTGTGCCATCCAGCGTAGTTCAACCTCTCGAGGACGTATGCCGTCAATTGGTAGGCGGCGTCGTATCCTTTCCTCTTGGACTTCTTGAAGCCGATGTTGCCGGTCGACAGGGAGATGATGGCGCCACGGTCGGGCTTCGTGACCGTCACATGCGTGTTGTGCTTGTGGGAGTAGATGTGCATGTGGTACGGCTCCAAGAGGTCCTCCTGTTCGGGGACAAGGTCGTCGAGGCCTGAGCCGCTTGAGGCGAGACCGCCATCTAGCGACTTGCCGGCGGCCTTGTTCAGGGTTTGGAGGAGCATTGTCTGGTTGTGGCTGGGCGAGCTAGTTCCCTGTGTCGGTGCCGGTGTTGAGGCTGTGGAGCGGGAGCCGTACATGGCAGCGAGAAGCTCCTGGCCTCCTTTCTTCGCATCGCCGGCGCGCTGAATCGGGGTCTGAGAGAAGGGTCGGAGGAATGCCGGGGAGCATCGTGCTATCGGGGATGGACGGGCGGCAGTCTGGAAGATGGATCTCGCCAAGAGGCGAGTCGTCGGTGCGGAGCTCATCGCAGGAGTTGTATCAGGCTTCCTGTCGCAATAGGGGGAGAGAGGGTGACCTGTCCGTGACGATGATGGCCCAGCTGCAATGAAGATTTCAGAAATTTGGTAAAGCTCCCGTTCGAACGTCTGGAGACATTGCCGCTATCTGATTGGCTCCCGAGTGGCGTGCCGGGTCGTCTTCGGTTGAACAGGGGCCCAGATTTTTTCCGCGCTCCGCTGTCAACCGAGATCGCTCGCCCAGCACTGCAGCGCCAGAGCTTCTGGAACCCCCGTCGGAACCTGTCGCGAGCCAAAATTTCTTTGCAACTTTACTCGCCCCCAATCGTCATCTGCATCCCCTTTCCGCCCCTCTCCTCCCTCTCTTTTTCTAAAATCCTCTTTTGCGTTAATCGTCGAGAGGCGGTTGGCTTGGGTTATACTACACACACACACACACACAGTATGAACTCTCTCGTGCAATCGGCGAGGAGAAATCCTCAGAATGCGCTCGTAAGAGCTTCCGCGCGGGCGGCGGTCCAAAACCACAGCAGGACACCCGCCTTCAGCCGGTTACTTTCCACAGACATCAGTGGTAACGCTGTGCTGGTCTCATCACGACACACCTTTGCACGACCCACCTCATTGCGATCACAGTTTCTCCCTGAAGATGTCCGCAGCATCTCGAGCTCGATGCAATCCAGGTCTTTCCACCTGACGGCCAGACAGCTCCAGCAGCAGCAGACCGAGAAGCCCAAGGCAACCGAAGACGGTGCAAAGCCTGCCGAGGATACCGCGAAGCCCACCGAGGAAGCCAAGGCCAAGGACGCCGAGTCTGAGGGCAAGGAGGAGTCATCCGAGAAGAAGGAGGGCGAGAAGGCCGAGGGAGAGGAGGGTAAGGAAGGCGAGGAGAAGCAAAAGGAGAAGAAGGAGGACATGCCGCCTCCTCCGCCCCACGGGGACAAGACGCCGTGGGAGGTCTTCAGAGAGACACTGACGGCCGAGTTTGGCAAGTCCAAGGAATGGAACGAGTCGACAAAGGCATTGTCTGGCGAGATCCAGGACTTTGCCGAGAGCGAGAGAGTCCGCAAAGCCCGCGAGGCCTATGAGAAGTCTTCTGGTGCCATCTCTTCTGCTGCGACGAGCGCCGTCAAGACCACCGCTGGCGCCATCGGAAAGGGTGCCGCCTGGACCTGGGATACCACCGCCATGAAGGGCGTCCGCAAGGTCGCTAACGTGACGGGAGACGCGCTCGACAAGGCGACCAAGCCCATCCGCGAAACCGAGGCCTACAAGAACGTCAAGGACGTTATCGATGACGGCAGCAGCTCGCGCTACGGTGGCTGGGTTGAGAAGGAGGAGCGTAGGAAGAAGCGCGAGGCTGAGGCCCTTAAGCACGGCAAGCCAGAGATCTTTGAGGAAGACCCCAAGTAAGTTTTCGAAAAAGCGGATTACCTGCAGGTCCGGAACTCCCAACTGACTGTGATGAAGCGCCGGCACAAACGTCACGATTCACAAGGACGCCGCCTGGAAGGAGGCGTGGAATGAGTTCAAGGACTCGAACAAGTTCGCTCAGGGCTTCTTCAGCGCCGGCAAGGTCTATCGCGAATCCGAAAACCCCCTCATCGAGACCGCACGACTCGTCACGGACAAGATTGGAGGATGGTTCGCCGAGAACGAGACGGCCCAGGTCATCAAGAAGTTCCGCACAATGGACCCCAGCTTCCGAACGGAGCCCTTCTTGAAGGAGCTCCGCGAATACATCTTGCCCGAGGTTCTCGACGCCTACGTCAAGGGCGACATCGAGACCCTCAAGCTCTGGCTCTCCGAGGCCCAGTACTCCGTGTACGAGGCCCTGACGAAGCAGTACCTTACCGCCGGCCTCAAGTCGGACGGCAAGATCCTCGATATCCGCCACGTCGACATTGTCCGCGCCCGCATGCTGGACCCCGGTGAAATCCCCGTCTTCGTCATCACCTGCAGGACACAAGAGGTGCACGTCTACCGCAACGCAAAGTCTGGCGAGCTCGCGGCCGGCATGGAGGATAAGGTGCAGCTGGTGACGTACGCCATCGGTATCACCCGCGTACCAGAGGATGTCAGCAACCCTGAGACGAGAGGATGGCGTCTCATTGAGATGCAGAAGAGCGGAAAGGACTACTACTAAACCAAAACTACCACCAACAACAACAACACTACTATCATAACCCACCACTCCCAACTTTTCAAGGGGGCGGTACTTCTCATAAGCGAGGAAGATGTTTGGATGATGAATTAACAACCTACAAAGAAGCCCCCTTCTCGCAAAAAATCTTCAGCCGACAAAAAAGTGTTTTATTACTTGTACAAAATAGATACTCGGGGGCATATGGGACTGGCGAACACTGGACGCGACGTTGCCACAATGTGAAGTGTGGCCAAAGGGGGAGGAAAGACAAAAACCAACACCGCTCTTGAAGGCTATATGTGTACGTGTAGAAGGAAAAATGTGTCTTTCATGTAGACGAGGCGATTACCCATACTTCGCGATGTAATACCAAACGAGAACTGAGAATGTCCTCACCCCATCATTACTATCCCCCTTCAGCCGTGTCATTTGCCGTCTTGACGGATCCTGCATCTTCCTCTCCTCGTCTCGACTTCTTAACAGCCCCTTCGTCTACAACTTGGCTCCCTTCCCTTTCTTCAGAACTCCGCCTCCTCTTCGCTTCAGCCTCGACAACTTCCCTCTTCCTCCCCTTCCTCTCCTCCTCCACCTCTGCCTCCTCTCTCAACACCGTCCGAACCTCCATCAAAATCTTACCCAGCAAATTCAACCCCCACCGTCCCCGATCCGAACCCGGTGCCTTATCCGGCGAGAACCCGATCCCCCAGATCCGATCCATCGGACTCGCCTCCACCAGCTCCCTATCCCCCGTCGCCAGCAACTTCTTCCGCAACTCTGGCGCGGACCGGAACTTCAGGAGATTGCCCTCGCGGACGATGCGCTCTCTGTTCTCGTTCCACAGCGCTTCGTTGAAGTTGCGCACTTTGCGGCCGAGGGCTTTGACTTTGCGCGGGTGGTCTGCTTTGAGGATGAATAGGGCGACGGTGGGGTCGGTGAAGAGGAGGGCTTTGGCGTGCATCATGTAGTGTTCTGCTGTTTTGAATGTTATGGGTGTGGAGGAGGTTGAAGATGAGGATGGGGATGGGGATGAGGATGAAGAGGGAGAGGGAGATTGGGTGAAGGGGTTGGAGGTCCACCATTGGGAGAGGTAGCCTTCATGCCCCGTTTCCCGCCAAAAGTAGATTGGTGATGTGTTCATGGTGATTACAGATGTAAGGTTCGAACTGATTCTTTGAATTTGAAGCTTGTATGCTGTTCGTAAGGGGTGGTAGGTTTGCATAGCTTATAAGTGTTGGGTGATGTAGAAGTGAGGCTGACTCTGAAGGCAACTGTCTGCCTAACTGCGTGTTAGTGCCGCCGCCGGATGACTCAACCGAGAGTGAGCGTGAACGCCAAAACATGAAGTGAGTTTAAGAACACAAGACATCTCAAACAGCACAATACTAAACGTTGAATAGTGACTTAAGTGATGAAGAAGCAGATCAGATTTCTCATGATACTTAGATAAACACCTCAATTGGGTCCCTGCTCCGGGACAAGACCATGAGCCTACACATCAATATAAGCCATCTCACTCACCCAGACTTATATAGAATCCCATCAACCTGCTCATGCCGCCTCACAGCATCCTCAAAACTAGGCAAACTCTCACCCTCCGCAAAAGCCTCATAAACCGCCCCGACACATCTCGCCGGCACAGGCAACTCCGCCTGCCACCCCTCCTCCCACGCCCACGGCACACTCTCCACCTCGCCGCTCTCAAAGTCTTGAACCTCAATCTTGACGCCGTCCACGTCCGCAAAGGCCTGCAGCGCGACGCTGTTCTGCGACGTCAGCCGGATCTCGCCCTTTTCGCCGTTGACGGTCCACGAGAGCTGCGGCTCGCCGGCGAAGGGCTGACCCCGTCGGAACCGCGCGAGGAACGTGGCGCCTTGGGCGGAGACGAAGTTTGAGGGTGGGAGGGTCGCTGTCGCAACGAGGAGGTCGGGCACGTTGCTTGAGACCGTCTCGGTGATTTGCTTCGTTGACGGGTCGCGGATCTTGACGTCGGGGCGTTGGATTTGGGTGTGCGAGTGTTGGATGGTCGCCTCGCCTAGGACGTGCTGGATCTGGTCAAACACTGAACGCTCATGTTAGCAATGGGTGAGATTTCCATGTCAAGGGCAAAGAAATGAACTCACAGTGACCAAAACCGATGGTGATCACATTCCCTCCAATCTCGCGCTGAGTGAAGTACTTCAACCCAGCCGGCAAAACATTCCGATCCAACGAACCACCCGCCGCCCTCACCTCACTACTCAACACCTTTCCAATCCTCCCCTCCTCCAAGATCTCCTTTACCTTCAACAGCGACGGCGCAAATCTTCCCTGGACACCCACCACCGTCCTCGCCCCGCTCCTCCTCGCCGCATCCGCCAGCTCACCCGCGCGCTTCGCGTCCTGCGCGAGAGGCCACTCGACGTACACACTCTTACCCGCCTCGACGCTGGAAAGGGCCGTGTCGTAGTGCTGATCGACGCGCGTCGAGACGACGACGAGGTCCACGTCCGGGTCCGCGGCCAGGTCGGCGGGGCTGCCGTAGGCTTTCGTGGAGGAGGGGAGGTTGTAGGCTTTCACTGCGCGCTGGGCGGCTTCGACGCTCGAGTTGCAGAGGGCTGTGATTGTGTATTTGGAGCGGCCGCGCGGAGAGAGGAGGTAGGGGAGGTGGGCGCTTGAGGCCCAGGCTGTTGTTGCGGTTGAGGAGAGGCCGATGATGCCGATTCTGATGGGTGCCATTATGAGGGTTTGTTTGATGTTGGTGGTGGTTACGGTTGGATGAAAACTTGTCGATTGAGGTCTTGTAGCGAGATGAGAAGGTTCTGGCTGTGAGTTTATAGTGAAGTAACGGTATGGAGGTGAGGTGTGTAAGACTGAAGATGATGTGATGGCCGATTTGTAAGCTGGCGCATCGCGGTGTAAGTCGATTGGAAGAGGGGTTGCGGCCACCTTGGTAATCAACCTCCCCCTCGCTTTGATATCGAAATGTCAATGAAACTAATAGAGATCTACACCAAGTGAGCTTGCGTGGTCTCCGTGGAGAGAGATACATCGCCTATGATTTGTCACACTTGGAGGGACCCGAGCGGATGCGGATCTCAACCAACGAATTTGCAACCCATTTCTGCAAATTTCTTGAAGTATGTCACTCTTGATTGAGTGATGCTCAAAGTTTCACGGTTGAGAATTGTTACAATGAGTAGAGATGCATGGCGTCAAATGTGCCAGAATAAATCCGTCAGTCCCGATTCCCTCATTACTGACATCAATCATCCAAACTCATGTTTCTATATAGTTGACTGCAATGAGGCCGGCAATGCCATGTTTACACCCAAGAACACTAGGAATATACCTTCACCCCACAACTTCCTGACTTAGCTCCCAACACCATGCTAATACAGTCCGGATGACATCTTGATCGTATCAAGAAAACCATTTACCAAAAACACAATCAAACCAAACCCATAAACATCGAAGCCACCAAAACAAACATACCAACTCTCACAGTCGTAACACCCGACCCCGCGGGTCCGCTTTCAGCAACGTGTAAGTAGAAAGGATATCCAGACGTCTCATTATATTTCAATGTCCCATTAGTACTCATCTTTTCTTTGTTGGCCCAGCGACGACGACAGGCCATGAACCTAGACAGCGCCGTGTCCTCGTCGGCGTAGGTCGCGGGAAGCTCGCACCACTTGTAGCAGCCCTCGGCGAGCTGGAGTGAATTTGGGTCGCAGCAGGCCGCTATGGGCGTGTCATACGTGTTGTAGCCTGGCGTAACGACGTATGTGAGGTTTTCTGGGATAGGAAAGTGGGTGGGTTGTGTTATGAGGTGGGGGTCTGGACATGTTGCGGTAGCCATTGCGGCAGGTGGTTGTTTTGGTTTTTAGAGCCGGGAAGTTGTAGTTAATGATGACGAGAAACACCGGGGCTTGGAGTTCGGGTTGATGGTAATGCTCATTGTTATCGGTGTTAGTCGGATCCGTTCGTGGGAAAGATGAAGTCTCGATAAGATATCGTGATATAGCTGTTGTATGTACTCGTATAAATTTCATACATAGAACATCATTTACCCAAGAGATTTCATGATCAATCTATATTAAATTGCTTGTACAATCCAATATCAGCTCATCAGTGGTTCTCTACCCAGTTGCTCAATGTCAGCTTGGCAGCCGCCCGACTGCAGTCTTGCCAAGCCCTACGGCGCAGCACAGCTGATTCTATACCTATGTACAGACGTCATCCAGCATTTGACGGGATATTTCAACCGGTTCAAAACGAGCCATCGTGGTCAGGGGTAACTGCAAAGATCTGGGGTAGGTTCCTGATTCGAAAGCACAGAGGCGCAGACGTTCCTGGTTTGTTGGCGATCTTTGGTGTTGGCAATGGCAGCGCTTACCAGTGACGTCGATGGCCGAGCATGGATCATGATGCTTGTTTCAACCGCCATCTCATATAGGCATGTCTACGCCGTTGAACTAAACAATCCAATACTACCTTGATCAGCTTGACAGTACCTTTGAGTGCAAAGTGTTGGTGCTCAAAACAAGTCCCGCCGTGAATTTGGTAAGATACCGATACTACCACAGCCATCTACCATGTTTTTGACAGCCGTGTAAAGCTTTGTAATGACTTAAATCTAAGTGATCACTTCCTCCAAGGCATGGCTTGATCAGATTCTCCGCGTCGCCGTAATTGAAAATGGAGCCGGCTCAAGGCCGCCCTATATCCGAAGGAGAATGCCAATACGTCTTCATTCGCCTCGGCGCTGCAATCGTGAGTGACTGACTATCTACCATCTCACGCATCCCCATCCCCAAATAAGCCCTCAAGATCCCTCAAACTCTTCACCTTCATCATCCTCCCCTCCCAAGAAGTCTCCCCCCTCTCATCAAAAAGCACGCTCAAAATCCCCTCCCTCAAAGCAGGCTCGACATCCCTCACCACACTATCCCCAACAAACACAATCTCCCCCGCCCCGATCCCAAGATGCCGCAGCACCTCCCCAAACAGTCCCTCCGTCTTAGCCACCCCAAAGAAGTTCGTCGTCGCCAGAAAATCGATATACCCATCAATTCCAAGCTCTCTCACAGTCCTCTCCTGCGCATCCTGCGGACCCTCCGTAATAACAACAACCTTCTTCCCCATAGTCTTCAACTTCTTAAGTAACGCCCCCGCACCGTCCTTTAGCTGGAGCGATTCATTCAAAGTCCGCTCATAGACATCCAATAACGAATCCAAAAACGCCGCATCGTCGCTGGGTGACCCGAACCGGTCCAGCACCGAAGAGAAGCGTTCCCGTCGATACTCAAACGACGTCTTACCGTCTGAAAATGCGGCTGCCGTCTTGACGCGGAGGACGTGGCCGTACGCCTCCTTCAACTCGTCAACGGGAGTCCCGTGTTTCCGAGAGATGGCTTCCAGCGTCTTCGTCGTGGCGGCCGAAGAGGCGCGGCGGAACTCGTGGAGAGTGTCGTCGAGGTCGAAGCCGAACCAGGGTTTCTCTACCAAGCTGGCTTTGACTTGAGAGCTAATGTTGGATCCGTCCATTTTGAAATTTGTTAGACGACATTGAAGGCAAGTAAGTGCGTGTAGTTGGTTGTGGGTTAGTAGTACGCAAGTTACAAGAAGCCATATTTTCACCGGAGCCATGACGGCTGAACCCCCGGAAACCGGCGGAGCTCGCGATCGGCCCGGAATGTCGTGATTTGACTCAGCCAATCCGTCCCCCACGCATGGCTAAATCACGTATAGAGTCTACGGGGCGGACCATGTTGATTTGCAAATATCTTTAATTACCAAAGGAGTTCTGTGCCCCAAAGCGTCTTATCCAGCGTGCTGTCATCCGGCAGCAAGCGCGGCATGTAAAAGACTAGTAGTAATGTACAACAACCGGGAATAATTACCTCCTCTCACAATATCTCATCGTCTCCAAGGCTCTCATCCGCGTCGCCGATATCATACCCCATTTCTCTCGCGTCTTGCGCCCTCTCGCTGGCCACACGCGTGGCGTGCCAAGCGTCCCACTTGGCCTTGTCGTTGGCTGACTCGACGACTGTCCGCTTCGCAAGTCCCTTCTTGCGAAGACGACGACGGAGTTGTCGCTTGTCGTAAAAGTCAAGTGTGTTGATATCAATAGTCGTAATATCGGTCCCTGTCACAAAATCCAACGCATCCGCCCAAAGATCTGATGCCTCCTCGGAGTATTGGTTTGCGAGTTGCCGACCCAAGCCACCTGTGGCCCACTCATCGAGCTTCACAGGAATAGCAACACCCCAAGTGGGATCCGTAGGTGACCAGACGCAAGGTGTCGATGAACATGAAGTTGGTCGGCAGTAAGCCTCGCACATGGCAGACTCAGCGGCATACCAAAGCGACACAAGGAGGAGCATCAGCCCAAGGAATGTAAGGCGGAAGGGGTTGCGACGGTAAAGGCTAGGCACAGGAAGGTGAAGGTACGACACCTCCTTGATGGGAGTCTGGCTCTTGCAGTCTGGGCAATCGCGAGCGTGATCCAGGTTATGGCGGTGATGCGACCCCTTGGCTTGCGGCTGCTTCTCCGACACTTTCCCAAGTGTAGCAGCATCACCATGTTTGCCGCCCTCGGCGTGAGACACCTGCCCCTCCAAGCGCTCGATGCCCTGCTTGGCACTACGGATGTTGAATAGCCCGTCCTTCAATGTCTTGCTCATCCTGTCGTACTGCTCCAGCTCGTGGTTTCGCTGACTCGTTGGAATGTTCGGCTTGGCTGCGACTTCCTCTTTCTTGACCGCAATGTCATCGAGCATCGACTCGATATCCAGGTCAGGGTCGTTTTGGAGCTTCTGCATGTTAAACAGCTCCTCAAAATCGTCCAAGGTAGAGTCTTCAATCTGATGGATGCGTTGCAGTTCCTTTATATCGTCCTTGACTGTCGGCGGCTTGACTGAGTTGGTCAGAGGTTTGCGCGGCCGAGAGGTTGATCTATTCCGGCGTCGTAGGCTGGTAGTAGTGCTCGTTCCGGTCGTCTCCTTCTGATCGCTTGTTTCGGAGCCAGACTCGGAGGCCTTAAAGAATGTGCCTGCTCTTGACGTTGGCCGTGATCCTCTTCTGCTCTGCGGTCTATCGAAAGTCGCATTCGACGAAGGGTCAGGCCTCTTTAATGGGGGTAGGGTATTCTCCTCGATACGCTCAACCTTTAGCGTCGCAGGCGTCTCGACGTAAGCCCCAGTCACTCTAGGTGTAGGGAGAGATAGCGGGTCGACTTTCTTCGGCCGGGGAGTCTCGCCGGCGAGGTCCTTATCCTCATCCTCGGTAGTAGGCTCTGCAGAAGGTGCTCTCGATCCACGCTCAGACTGGTTGTCCGCAGGCGCGAAAAGGTTCCTCTCTTGTTCGATGCGGTCGGTAGGATCACCATCCGACAAGGCCACGCTCTTACGGTTGTCCTTGGCTGAGTCGGTTGACCTCTGACGACGTTCTCGGCGCCTTGCAGCGAAGTCCACGCGAGATTGGGGCCTCCCTACCTCCGGCGCTTTCAGCTCGTCCGTGGAACTGGACTTGGAGTCATCTGTTCCGTTCGTCTCGGTAGAAGCTGGCTCGGAAACTTTGATAGTTTCTCTGCGGTTTCGTCGTGGTGGACTGGCCTTAGGTTCGGGTTCGGGGGCAGACCGTCTAGGCTCGCTTCTGCGCCGCTGTGTCTCGGCTCTCTGCGAAGTCTCTTTGGATGTTTCTTTCTCGAGCCTTTCCATCTCAAGCTTCAACTTTTCACGCTTCTCCTCCTCAAGCTTCTCTTTCTCAAGTCTTTCCTTTTCGAGCTTCTCCTTTTCGAGTCTCTCTTTCTCGAGTTTCTCCTTAGCGAGCATGTCCATCTCGATCTTCTCTCTCTCCAACCTCTCCTTCTCCAGCTTCTCCCTGTCGAGTCTCTCCCTCTCTAGCCTCTCCCTCTCTAGCCTCTCCCTCTCGAGCCTGTCTCTCGTTCGTCTCTCCTTCTCCAATCTCTCTACCTCCTGATTCGCCTTTTCCAGCCTTTCCTTCTCCAGGTCTTCAATGCTTGGCCACTTTTTCTCATCTGTAGCCGCGGGCTGGTTATTGGATTCAGGAGCAGGGCTGCTACTCGCAGCTCTGGCGAGCCTCTGCAACAAGTCTCTCGAGTCCGTTCGCGCATGCGCACCCAGTGGCCTTGCAGACTTGGGACTCGCCCGCTCGTTTCGGTTCGCCGACGACTCAGACAGCGATTTGTTTCGCTCCCGTACAGGTGAGTTGCGATAGATTGTGACAGGCGTGTTGGCGACATGCTCGCCGTCCTCTGTGGGCCACACTGACTCCCCAGCCGCTTCTCGGACAGGCGTCGACTCTCTCGCAAAGTCCTCGCTTCGCCGAGCTTCCGGCGACATGGATCTCGACATCATTGAGTTCTGTTCCCTAATCTCCTCTAATCGACTAGTGGCGACGGCCTTCTTAGACAATGACTCGGCTTCTCGGGCTCGTATCTCGTCGAGTTTCGTGTTTTTTGGCGGGGCTTGTGTATCAACTTCTTCACGGTCTGGTAAATCATCGGGTGTCGGGTAGTAGGAGCGTCGGGGTAGCTTCGCGAAATGCTCCTCTGCCTCTGCTTCTCTTTCGCGAATCTCTTCCAGCCTTGTATTGTTTCTAGCTCTTGGCAGCGCCTTTCGTAACTCGGCAAGCTCTTCCTTGGCTTTCTCTTCCCGCTGACGAATCTCGTCGATCCTAGTATTAGAGCGCCCAGCACGAGGAGAAGGCCCTAGCGATGACTCCCGCCTGAGATTTCCGTTCAGCCCAAAGAGCTGCTCTTCAGCATAAGCGCTGCCGTATGAGGATCGTCGATCGGAGGCTTCGCTGAAGCCAGCGCCATCGGTTCTTATTCGTGGACTGTCTGAGATCTGCAAGTCTCCCGCCGTGAAATCCGCGTCGAGCTGCCACGCGTAACTCTTGTCCGGGGATCGGTAATCCGGGTTCGTAGAAGCCGGGCGAGAGGTTGGTGGAGTGGGCTCCTGAGGCAGACGGGAGGTCTCTACAGAGGGCAACGGTGTATCGGCTGCATTGTCGTCGTCTGGTTTCGGCCTGGCGGATCGCTTAATACCCTTCTCATCCTGCTCCAGGAGCTCCTTGATGTGTCCTTTAGGAACATGACTCTTTGCGAATGCTCCGGGACGCGGACTGGCGTTCAAACTGCCGTAGCTTGTCCTCCTACCCAAGCCCGGGACTCCGTTCAAGCTGCTGTTACTTGCCCGCCGGTTCGCACTTTGAGACCCGTTAAGGCTGCTGTTGCTTGTCCTCCTCGCCAGGGTGTGTCCTGTCTCGGCAATCTTTGGTCCCACTCTGGTCTTACCAAAGAAATGTTCCTGATCCCGAGACGCGCTCGGCGACTCTGCCATCTCCCGTTCGTATTGGCTCAGTCGACGATCGAAGCTTCCAGAGCTAGAGAGACTGTTCGAGCCTGGACTACCGCCGTACCGTCCCACGTAGCTGTCACGCAACGAGTCGCTCGACATCCTCGAAAGGGGTCTAGGACGGCTGTAGTCAACCGCATCTTTGCCAAGAGATCGCCGCGATTTTGACTCGTCCGAGACCTGTCGATTGGTATAGGGGCGTGGAGCAGGGCTTGGTGATGCGTCGATGGCTGCGGGGGTAGCTCGCCGCGCCTTCTCGAGGGTTTGGACACGGTTCTCATCCGCCAGCTTCCAGGCCTCGGCGACGGAGACTCCGGAGCCTTTGGCGAAAATGCCAATTGTGGATTTGGGTCTGGGGATGCGAGAGCCGGGAGACACGATCTCGATGGAGTGGTTCGAATTGAGGGAGGGCGTCTGCGAAAGGGAGCTCGAAGGTCGAGGGATCGCGGCGCGAGAGGGGGGTCGACCGGTCGCACTGGTTTGGGCGTTTGTTGGCGAGTATCCGAATCTGGTACTTCCTGCCGCAGCTGGTGAGGGATTCTGAGGCTCGAGGCTCTCTCGGGAGGGTTTGGAGAATAGTGGTTTACGGCCTTCCTCGTCAATAGTCAATTGAGTAGAAGCGCGACGATTCGCTCGAGCGCCGAGGCCGAAGGACGGCGATCGATTGTATTCCATGGCGTTTTGGGGTTGTGGCCACGTTCGTAGTTGGTGGTGGCGACAGTGTAGTGGTGATGGTATGTTGTCAAGCTGCGCGCAGCTGCATTTTCTTGCGATGTGATTTGGCGACTGGTCGCGTCATAATAATACGAGAACGCAGCAGAAACAGCGACACGAGCTTTTCAAAGCTATGAGGCCGAGATGGTCAACTTAGTCGTCTTTATTCGCATTATCATCAGGGGAAAGGTGGTCGCGCAATGGGGAAAGACAATATTTTGGGCCGGCGAGCGAGCAAGTGGTGAACCGCGTCTTCCTAGGGAAATTGACCGGGGGCCACTCCTGGTGCTTCTTTCCCATTTGGATCAACCCCCACATTGCCCCATCTAATCTCGGGGCGGAAAAACAGATAGGGAATGACTAATCGGGAGCTTCCGGTCCAAAATGGTCCAAGCTCCAAGATTGCGCCGGTCTGGACCCTGAATGGCCGATCCCCGTTCTGGAAAC